GGGGTTGAATAGGGAATTGACCCCAAGGAATCCGAATTTCGTGGTCCCGAAACCCCCCCCACCCCCCTTGGGCGGTAAAGGGGGGGTCACGATGCTAAAAATCCCGGTTCCCGACCGAATTGCGGATAGATCGCATCAGAATTGAAAAGCACGAAAAATTTCACGTGGAATTGACCCCTAAAAATCCAAAATCGGACCATCCAAGGCCTAAAAATGAGCCCCTAAAGAGGGGGACAGTGCCCCCTCCATAATTTCTCTTTGGTCTCAAAATTGACGTAGATTCTCCAGAAAAAGACAGTTTCCCAGGTAATCGACCTCGAAAAATCCAAATTTCATGGTCCCGAAGCTCCTCTAGCGCCCCTTGGGCGGTAAACGGGGAGGCCCAATTTTAAAAATCGGGGCTCCTTTCCGAATCGCAAATTGATTGCATCCAAATTGAGGAGCAGAACACATTTACATCTTAAGTGACTCCTAAGAGTTCTAATAGACCCCCTGAACGGCAGAGAGTAACTCCCTGAGGAGAAAGGCTTCGCCCCCGCCAAAAATGTCTCAAGATTCCTCTTTGGCCGCAAAATTGACGTCGATTCTCCAGAAAAAGACGGTCTCCTATGTAGTCGACCCCGAGGAGCTCAGGGAACATGAAATTTAGAGTCCTCGGGGTCGATTACATGGGAGACCGTCTTTTTCTGGAGAATCGACGTCAATTTTGCGGCCAAGGAGGAATCTTGAGACATTTTTGGCGGGGACGAAGCCTCCCTCCTCAGGGAGTTACTTTCTGCCGTTCAGGGGGTCTATTAGAACTCTTAGGAGTCACTTAAGATGTAAATGTGTTCTGCTCCTCAATTTGGATGCAATCAATTTGCGATTCGGAAAGGAGCCCCGATTTTTAAAATTGGGCCCCCCCGTTTACCCCCCAAGGGGCGCTAGAGGAGCTTCGGGACCATGAAATTTGGATTTTTCGAGGTCGATTACCTAGGAAACTGTCTTTTTCTGGAGAATCTACGTCAATTTTGAGACCAAAGAGAAATTATGGAGGGGGGCACTGTCCCCCTCTTTAGGGGCTCATTTTTAGGCCTTGGAGGGTCCGATTTTGGATTTTTAGGGGTCAATTCCACGTGAAATTTTTCGTGCTTTTCAATTCTGATGCGATCTATCCGCAATTCGGTCGGGAACCGGGACTTTTAGCATCGTGACCCCCCCTTTACCGCCCAAGGGGGGTGGGGGGGGGGGTTCGGGACCACGAAATTCGGATTCCTTGGGGTCAATCCCTATTCAACCCCGCGGTCTCCGACTTCAAGCGACCTATACCAACCGAGAAAAAGGCCTGGTACGGGTGGTCTGAAACACCCTGTAGAAGAAGAAAAAAGTTCTGCGTGGATGTAGAAAGATCGGCACAGTGCATTCGCAGTTTTTATTAATTTTGTCTCTCAATGAAAGGACTCTCCTAGGGGCAATGCCGAGTTGGCTCCCAAACTTTCGAATTCGCTCTCGTCGTGATTTTCAGTGTGCCGAGTTGGCTCCCGCTTGAAAAATGAACTGGCAACGCCGTTGCAATCAGATGAGTATATCAAACTTAACTCCACAATAACTCGACCCCTAGACAAACGGCGGGAAAATAAGAAACAGTTGTTAGCTGATGTGGTATTGACCTACGCAATGGATAACAATTTCCTTTCTTTCATCAAAAATTTATCATGCAAATTTTTGCCCGTCACATTGAAGTAATAAATTCATGACACGATTTCAACACTTTTAAATGATTTTTGACGCAGCGAGTTTTTTAAACTACTAAAGTTTACAATTTACTCGTTATTTCCCAATATTCTCCGCGCTCGTGCTGCTATATATCACGGGCAGTACTTTCCACATGGACAGGTGAGTCGACAGTAATTCAAAATTTAAGGGCGAAGGGGGGAGGAAAAATTCCCGGATTTTACATTTTATTTAAATAAAGTGGAGGCTCGGAAATTTTTGCCACTCCTTGCCGAGTATCTACAATCTTATCGTCAATTCTGCAACCATACAATCATCGAGGCATATAGAGGTAAGCAACGTTGCCCTTTTAAAATAATCTTTTTTTCTCTGCCTCTTTTCAAAGGAGCCAACTCAGGCTATGCGATGGGAGCCAACCTTTCTTCTTGTAAAGAGGAATTGAATACTTGAGTAGGCGAGAGCTGGGTGTTTCATTGCATTGCAACGGTTCAAAATTTCACCCAACAATGTATTTCTTTATAAATTTACAGAGCATGTTATACCCCGAAATTTTCAAATAATTTTCGTCAAATTACAAGAAGACTTCAAAATGTTATAGAAATTGAACCCACTTAAGCCCAGGGAAATTTTGGGTCAATCAAGAGCCTTATGGGGTCTCATGATAAACACAGGCATATTTGCAACATATGCCTTTTAATTTTGATGCTCAAAAATATTATTTTAATGCTTCCACACAAACATTAGAAACATTTCTGTTTTATGTTTAAAAAATTAAGTTAGCGAAGGGACAGTAAAAATCCTCTAACAATAATGCATACTCGGCACGATTGAAATTAAATTGAGTACTTGTATATGTTTAAGCAAAGAAGAAGAAAATGAAAAAAAAAAAAACCTGGGAAACCAATAATGCACCTTTTCAGAGGTGGTTTAAAGACTTTCAAAGAGAAGTATGCGTTTTGGACGCCTGAAAGCTGAAATGTTTATAGACACAGTTAAAATAACTTTTAAGATAACTTGTAAACTGGAATTAAAATGCGCATCAAGTCTATTCAACGAGCTGAACGTATGGTAATTGATGCGAATCATGTCCAGCATCACTATTACCAATGTGGCGCTTACTAAAACCCAACGAAACCCCTCAAAATATCTCTTGAACAATCAGGGCCGATTTTCCATTTAAAGATCCCGCGCTATGAGATCGCCGGATCTCCAGACACGGCATCCTCATATTACTACCATGTTGCCGCAGCGTTTTAACCTCTCGGCCGGTTTCATTGGGCAGTAGACGAATCACAAATAGGGCTGGCAATGCTGTTGATGATTCCGGATACCTGCGACTCCGGAAGATTTAAGTTAAAAGGTGCGCTAATTTGATTCTCTTCTATGGCACAAGGTAAAAGTGCAGTCCACAACAGTTAGTATGAAATCAGTAAACGCGCCTTGGAGTTATGCAAAACCCATCCCCCGGATGTTCACATTTACAGATTCTAAGACAGCTCATTAGGCATTAACGTGTGGCATTCAAATTCATTTGTCGATCGAACAGATGTCGATGAATTCTATTGCTCGCACAAGCTTCTTGCAAGATTAAAAGATGCAATTTTCGATTGAACAAGTGTCGACGAAATGGTGGTTTTTTTCAATAAGCGTTTTTCGAGCGAAAGAGTGTCGATGTAATAACAGTGTCGATCGAATAAATGTCGATCGAATACATGTCGATCGAAAATACGTCTATAAAAACTATGACGATGAAAAAATTTTCCATGGAAAGTATGTCGATAAAAAAAATGTCGATCGATCTGTGTTGATCGAATCGATGTCGATTGAATTGCGTTCCTATTTTTCGATTGAACTGTGTCGAGTGAATCGACGTTGATCATAACGATGTCAACGTAAAAATAATTTTTTATCAAGGATTTTAAATTGATATTTTCGAGCGAAAAAGTGTTGATGCAAACAATGTCGATCGAATGTAAGTCCATCGAAAATACATCGATAAAAACTATGTCGATAAAAAAAGTTCAATGAAAAATTTGTCGATGATAAAAATGTCGATCGATTTGTGTCGATCGATTTGTGTCGATCGAAAAAGTGTCGACCGAATCGATGTCGACTGCATTGCGTTTTGATTTTTCGATTGAACTGTGTCGAGTGAACCGACGTCGATAAAAACGATGTCGACGTACAAATGGTTTTTCTTCAAGGATTAGAAATTCAAATTTTCGAACAAATCAATGTCGTCCGAATCTATGTCGACTGAATTGTGTTTTCATTTTTCGATCGAATTGTGTCGATGTTTCTTGTACCCACCGCTTTAAGGAAAGCACCATCTTCAAAATTCCCGGAGGAGGAGGGGGGGGGTTACTCCTTGCTGGCCCACGGTCTAAACTCTAGCGTTCGCCATCGNGGGGGGGGGGGGGGGACGAAACCCTCTTCCCCGCCTCAAAGAGAGCCTCCCTAGATAATTGTTAAAATTTAGATTCTCGCGACCCTCTATTTACTCCATTGTTCGGATGGAATCTCTGTTGGAACGTCTTGAAAAACTGTGGTTTTATTTACTTCTCTTACGTACGATTTCGTTTCCTCAACTTGTTTCGAATGTTTTTGAGCATTGGAGTGTGACAGCTCCATGCTCTTAGCTCCCGATTTTGCGACTTATTTGAGGTATATCTTGTCCTTATTCCACAGCGTTTAAAATTTTTTTAGTTATTTAAGTTTCCCCAAAAAATATCTTTCTGCGTTTAAAACATGATTGAGAATTGTCTTATTCATCTCTAATTAGATTGAAGTGAGCGACACATTACAGAAATGGAGGGCACTTGCTCCAAAGGGAGCAATCGCAACTGTGGCAGGGAGAGGGAACAAGATAGCGCATTGGATGTAGAAATTACATCGGATATCGCATTATCTACAATAGCCACAAAATTTTACATGCAAGTTATGGACCTAAATTGATTTCACAGATTCCAAATGGAGAAAGTAGGATGGCAATGCATGTTTTGCCCTAGATTTCAAACGGAACTGGTAGATCATGAGAAAAGGACGAGGTCGCCTTAGTGACTACCTTTATTGACAGCCCTGGGCCATTTTGTGATGAAGTCTCGGCACCTACTTGGCATGCATCAATATCAAATGGTACGTCGCTGCTCTGGGGTTTTCTGAAAAATCAGGGCAAAGCTCTTAATATACCACCCGAGTTTTGCAGACAACTTCTGGCCATATGAACGATGACTCCATATGCAGGACTGCTGTGGTTGGGAATGCATGGTATAAAAATACAAACTTACTGTCTTCATAGTCACCATTCTTCGAACTGCACCAAAAGTGAACCATCTCATCGATGAAGAATAGCATCAGAAATCCAGCGCAAAATACAACGGCAGCCAAGTTAGGTATTTTTTCACTGATTTCTGGAAGAATGTGAACCATAGCTGTGGCAAGAAGAACACCAGCTCCACAGCAGAGACAAAACGATAAAATCAAAGACCTTGAAGAGCGAATTTGGAAGCTGATCAAACGAGGCAGCATCCCAGCGACAAAACAGGTGACACCTAGACCAGCAGTTGCTATTAGATAAGCTCTGATCATTTCTGCTAATGTCGGGGGTTGAGAGGCCCCGGTTAGGCTGTCAAGTAACTCTGTAACATTCATCTTTTCAATTTCTGAAGTGCGACATTGATTCTTAAAAAAAAGTTGCTCACCGGTAAGTCATAAATTACTCCTAGAGACTGAGTTTGACAATTTAGACACTACTTTAAAACTTAGTCAAATACACAAAACTTGAACCTAAGTACTTATGATGTCAATATTACTGTTTAATGAAATATCATGTTATGAGAAATGGATATTTTATTTTCCAGTTCAAGGTCACGATAGATGTTCATGATTAATCATAATATAATAATTGATCGAAATAGCTCAAATCTTTTCACCATAACGTAGATGACATTCGAACTTCTTGAAAAAAACAAGTTTATCAAATTTGGATAAATGCCTATGACTTAGCACATTACAAAACCATATCTTACTAATAAAACCGTCCAACACTTCTCTAGGTGACTCTTTGAAGAAAAAACATTGATGGGACAAAAAAATCAAACGAGATAATAAAAAATGACAACTCCCCCCCCCCCCCCCCCNCACACACACACACACACTCACACACACCCTCACACACACGCGCGCGCGCAACAAGCAGAAAAAACAATTGAGAGTAGAGGGAGTAGGACTGCTGATAAATAAAATTTAACTGAACTGATCACAAGTCATTGAGTAAAACTTAACCAGCTGATCAACTAAACGATGTAGACTTGTGCAAAGTTCATTGCGGATGAGGTAGTAACTGGAAACCTATTAAATGAAAGTGATGTGTCACGCTCACTCTTCTTATCTTGAGATAGTCAGCTGGAGATAGCAGGAGGAGGATAGCTTTCTTATCTACAAGGTATCATAATCTCCACAGCAAGATTTCGGTACCTACACAGCTACTGAGTTGGCCGAATGAAAAAAGAAAGGGGAGAAAGAAAAGAAACATAAGTATACCTTCGTTTTGTCAAGTGTTCTCAATGAGCAAACACACATCATTGCTTAGCAGATAGAGTTTGACATTGTCACTCATCTCTCCTTACGTAAGTGATAATAAAGACATGATATCTTGCTTTAGGAAAGGTACTATTGAACTGAGAAAGCGACTCCTTGCAACTGAAATACATTTTATCATTGTGGTTTTTTACATTTAGCTCTTCAGTAGTTGTCAGATTATTTGTCAGGCATAGTTATTAGAATATCATGCTCCAGGCGTTTTTCAAAACTGTTTACCACAAAAGCGAGTAACTTATCACAGAAAAACTTACTGGTACTTTCTTGATTTTCTCCTGTTTTGTTAGTACTTGTCTGTTTATTTGTTGATCTAAGCCCCCCCCCCCCCNNCGAGGGAATTCAAAATTCATTTAATAGATGAAGTAATGAGGCATCAAAAACCTTCAAATGTGCTTTGTCCCGTGTTATCAGAATAATCTAACAAATCAAGAGCAAGATTAGTAAAAATGAGTTTAGGTCCGTTCATAATTATTGGCCCTAATCAAACCCGTTTTTGGCCCTAAAAATACGGTCCAATGAGCGTGTGGCCACAAACGGACCTCATTTAATTTTACTGAAGAGAAGGATTTTTACAGGCTCAAAAGATACAGAGCTGGAATTTCATTCCATGTAGAGTCCTCTGCGGGGAATTTCTAATGATAACTACCTTCCACTTATTTCTACAGTCATTTACATCTATCCGAGGGCGTCATTTCTGGCAAATCTTGGGGAGGGGAGGTGGCAAAATTCTTCCAAGGAGCATAACTTCTGAAAATGCCATAAAATGCTCGAGCATCGGGGAGGCATTATGATGGGCTTAACAACAGCTTGTTTTGAAAATAAAAACGTAGGACTGCGTAAAAGTTGCATATTAGCATCACTTTGAAGCTTACCGAGGGATTTCGTTTTAGAAAAATGTTTTTTCCTTCATGTATTTCACGCTGATTCGATCATTCTTTTTAACCCTTTGTTGCATGACCTAATCGTTGATTTTGGAGAGAAAATCTACATTGTACAGTATTTTTCGACAATAGAGTCAATTGGAATCGATTTAAGTAAAGGAGATTAGACTTATAATGTTCCCCAAAAATCATTTCTTGCTTTGATTTAATTTAATACTCCAGCATAGAAATAAAGCTATAAACCATATGTTGCTTTCATGCAATGCTATGAAATAAAGGGTTAAGCATAGTAGAGATCGTCTAGAACACTCATTTTTCAAGTCTGAACTCGGCATTTGGTATTTAAGGTGTCCTTATTAGTTTCTAGATCAGAGTAATTTTTGTGCCCTCCATATGCTCCTAGATACACGATGGTGACTCGTATTTTGACAATCTTATCAATTTTTTAGATGACTCGGCAAATTCCCAGTAAATCAGCTTCCCTTTATTAAGAGCCATGTTTATAACAAATGAAGAAAAAATATTAACTCTTTTGGATGTGGGAGGTTTCCCTAATTAATAAACTCATAGTTGCACTGAATCGCTTGATTTGGTCAGAATCTCTCCGATTTTTGTTATTTTTTGCCCAACTCGACAAGCTTGTAATAAATTGGAGGACATTAAGAGCGCATAGATAATACATATTTTGCTAGGGGATATGGCTGTCCCTGTCTATAGCAAGAGCGAGAGTACGATTTTTATCGACTTTTCAGCAATTTTCTCATATTTTATTGAGTTACATGGCAAGCAAATAAAAATTGGGCCTTCAATTTTCAGAGACTCTCTAAATAATATGTTAAGGGGGTGTAAGAATTTACCGACAGACGTTTTTGTGCCTCCGAGGAATCCCTAGAGCGCTCAATAAACGCGATTGAAGCAACAGGAAGATCAATTAGCATACTATTCCTATCGAATTTTTTCAGCAGTTTTCTCGTGCCTCAAAGTTGTTGCTTCAAAGGTTCTACAAAACTCGACTCCGAAAATATCATTTTGGGTACAATGGGTATGGATAAAAGGAAGAGAGCCAAAAACTCAGACTGTTACAAAAGGATTCTGTTTGAAAATGAAGTCTGTATTTAGAAACTGTCTGTAATTATCTGTAATTGTAATTTTTTTACAATAGATGGCAGCTAAATATTGAGATTTTCTTTGGGCAAGATTAGATAGTGTGGTTTGTAAGAAATAATTTTATAAAGTAATTTGGGTTATTTTTAGTTCTTATTTCAATTTATCAGATCGTGTGGATGTAGCAGTTAGCAAAGATTTCAGAAATTTAGGTTTTATTAAATGAGTAAAAGGCGAATCATCATTATTATGCATCTTCATTGCATACTGGTTCTTCCACATTTACCGTTGGCATCTGTTGCATGGACTCTAGGGTGTTTCTTATTTTTTAAATTTTCGAATTCGAAGGAGGTCCTGGTCCTAAAAGTTGATGTGTAGATACATTAGAAGTCTCGTACAGGGAAAAAAATTTAAAACAATTTTTACCCGGTGCTCAAACGACTTAAGTGACACAGGTTGAAATTTGAGATTTTTCGATAAATTAACACTGTTTTCCCGTGGAAAACGCCGAGTTACGGCCCTAAAGTGCGAAAATTTCGTCCGTTTCGTCGTATCTGCAACACAAAAGCCGCAAAACACCCGAGAAAGGCGCGCGCAACGAGAGACACTGGGAGCAAAATGGGCGCGCAGCGCCACGCCGTAGCGCAACGCGCGCGCATCCTCTGCGCTGCCTAAGCGACATGCCGCACGCACGCACCAAGCTTACGCGGGCCCGAAAGTTTCCGTCCGCTGCAATGTATCATTACGAATTTACCTAGACACACTTTAACATTAAAAAACAGTTGAAATGAATAAATACATCAAAAAGACAAATTTTCTTTGTAAAATATTTTTTTTTTTTTCTTCTTTATTCAAAAGATAGAGAACTACAAAGTATTAACTCTATTTCTTATAACTAAGAACTAAGAACTACTTTACAATAATGGGTGGGCTGGTGTGCCACCGGCCCTAGCTGAGTTACAATACGTTCAGGGACTGTACATAAGGATTAATGTGGTTGTTGCAATGTGTATATACAATTAATTAAAATATAGATATTTGTAGAGAATATTTGGATCTTAATTATTATGCCCCCCTACCCCGCTATAAAACAATAGGAGAGATATCAATAGAGATGGTTAGATTTGGGTGCATAGTAATGCACAAGTGACAGTCGAGTCAGACACAATCAATACTAGCAATAAAAGACATTAAGATTAGAATTGCTAAATATTGGCTATATGTAAGAAAATCAATTTCAACAAATTTAACAGTTCAAAGTTAATAAACTAAATCAAATAATCCTTAGTTTACTTAAAGGCTTAGAGCCTTAAAATGGTTGACAGACTATTTTCATTATTTTTGTATGGTTTTATTGACTTTGGCTTTGACTTGTAAGAGATCATGAAAATGCAGCTCTTGTTTATATCGGGAGTTGGCAATACATGTACTGATTCCTTTGTAAAACTTCGCGTGAATTAGGATGGTTTTACTGGTTTTCTCTGAAACAAACCCTAAAACTAAAAAAAGACTCTCAAAGTTAAGGCCGTGTAGAAAAAGATATCCCCGCTTTCCTGAGAGTCCACCTTCGTAATAAGCTAAATTTTCTATGCTAAGATATGGAGCAAATTGACAGCTTAAGTTCGCAATCACATATCTCAATTCCGGTGTCTGAATATCTCAATTTCGAAGTTATTTTTTAAAGGAGAACAAACTGACACCATTCCTTGAAGTTTATGCAGACTTTTCTTCTCACATAGAAAAAAATCACGGCAGTTTTAAAGAATTGCCAGTGAGTAGTTTTCCGTTTAAAAAATAAAGTACCTAGGTATGACAGGAGGGCTGCAACGTCGCAAACCGAGTCGTGTGATTGCCGACTCTTACTGTCGAAATGAATCAGCAGGATTGCGGTCAAAACTGAAAACACGTGTTTTTAGTTTTGAAAACCCCAACGAAGTGGCTACCCTGTCAATTTATATTATTCGCTCTTTGCATGGAGAGTTTGACTTGATACAGAGGTGGACTCTCAGGCTAGCATGGTCCCCTCCATTACAGCATCAACTTTCAGAGCTTTTTTCAGTTTTGGAATTTGTCTCGGAGGAAACTGATAAAACCATCGTGTTTCTCGCGGAATTGTGCGTAATAATCTATATATTTAATATCCTAAGGCTTTTTATGTCAGAACTTAAATCACTAACTCCTAACACATGCAAGATCTCCATTACCTGCCGATGTTACCTATCCTCCTGTTGTGCGTGGACATCACTTTAATTTTGCGCTCAGCATGGTCACTTTATCAACTTTTATGATTTAACTACTTTTTTTACCTCAAGATACTCGGAAGTAAGTAGCCATGGGGCTGGGCAAGAGTCTAGAAATGAAAATGGCAAATCCATGATATTGAAAAAAAGGCTAGAATGTTGGTTGGGGAGAAGCCTGGACTTACCGGGCATTCTTCAGCGTAGGTACACATTGAGGAGGACGTATGTCATATTGGGGCCCGGAAAAATGACCCAGAGGTAATCGCAGACCTCAAGAAGTTTCGCAGCTTTAACAAGAGTACTTACAACAGCTAGTGTTGTGCTCCGTAATTTATCCAGCCACGCATGGTACCTCTGTACTTCTGTAGTAAAAATTTGGTTCCCTTTGCATTATTTGATGATGGACTTACATCGAACACAAAGAGAGTCTTTGTTCACGACATGAGACACAATGTAGAGTTGCCGAATCCACCTGTCCGCCAGAACGTACAATTTAACTAATGTCTAGGGTCACATTTGAAGACAATTATTTTCATGATCTCTTACAAGTCAAAGCCAAAGTCAATAAAACCATACAAAAATAATGAAAATAGTCTGTCAACCATTTTAAGGCTCTAAGCCTTCAAGTAAACTGTGGATTATTTGATTTAGTTTATTAACTTTCGACTGTTTTATTTGTTGAAATTGATTTTCCTACATATAGCCAATATTTTACAAAGAAAATTTGTCTTTTTGATGTATTTATACATTTCAACTGTTTTTTAATGTTAAAGTGTGTCTAGGTAAATTCGTAATGATACATTGCAGCGGACGGGAACTTTCGGGCCCGCGTAAGCTTAGTGCGTGCGTGCGGCATGTCGCTTATAGGCAGTGCAGAGGGCGCGCGCGCGTTGCGCTACGGCGCGGCGCTGCGCGCCCATTTTGCTCCCAGTGTCTCTCGTTGCGCGCGCCTTTCTCGGGTGTTTTGCGGCTTTTGTGTTGCAGATACGACGAAACGGACGAAATTTTCGCACTTTCAGGCCGTAACTCGGCGTTTCCCATGGGAAAACAGTGTTATTTTATCTAAAAATCTCAAATTTCAACCTGTGTCACTTAAGTCGTTTGAGCACCCGGTAAAAATTGTTTTAAATTTTTTTCCTTGTACGAGGCTTCTAATGTATCCACACATTAACTTTTAGGACCAGCACCTCCTTCGAATTCGAAAATTTAAAAAATAAGAAACACCCTAATGGACTTCTTATTCTTTGAATAATGTCTTTACACTGGAGTCACCTCAGCATTTTTCGCTTTGCTTTTTGTATTTGAAATAGGATCACCTACATTCATTTGCGACTGTGATAACAGTGAAATTTCTACCGATCTATCTGTTTCTTCTGTCATGACTATTTTCAACTATTTTGACTTGGTGCTTCACTTCAGGTTTGTGAACAGGCTATTCTTCTCTCCTGAGTTGCTAGAACTGTAAAAGGTTAGTGATGTTGGTTATTCTTTACAAGATGGTGGGCGATTCTTAGAAAGCCTCTTTAGAGCCAACTTCCTTTTTTCTCTCCTATTTGCAGCCTGGTTAGGTACTAGAATGACCTTCCTCCAGAGCTGCAAGACTGTTTCGCTTTGGTTCAATTTAAGGCAAAGGGGTGGACTTTGTGTGCTAATGCATAGTTATTTTGTTTTCCTATTTTGTTGTAATGCCATACTTTAATTTGTTGTTTTGTGGTATTGTATTATTGTAATTTTTTGTAGTTTCAAATTCTTAATCTCTTGTAAATGGGGTTTTTAGCCTATTAATTGTTTTATAAATATCTAAATAGTATTTACAAGTGTATACGATAATGAAATATCATGATTTGGAGATAATGAGAACAGACATCTTTATGTAACATCTTGGAAAAAGAAATTAGGTGAAAATAGTCTTGCATATCATTTAATTAAAAAGATTTAAATATACATAGATCGATACAATCATTTTCAATTTTGTGTCACATATCTCAAAATGAAGCATTTACATGAATTAAATTAAGTTACATTCAAGTTAAAGGTAACCCTTGAGTCTGTCATGAGAAGTAACAGATTTGGATTACTGCAAGCCTTCGTAAAGTGTGCTCACATGAGCCCGCGGCAAAAATCACACGCACCTAAATTCAATGCGTTAAAAATCCTGTCTTTCCTAAATCTTGCGATGAGGAAGTGGGCAACGGTGCAGGAAACTTAGGGTCAGTGAGAAAAGATAATAACTTGTGATGAATAAGATCTGGAGTTCACTAATATAAACGAACTTTAAGTAGTTGCTGTCCGGCTGTACAGAAACTTATTCAAACATTCCAGAAAGAAAATAAAAGACCCAAAAACAAATAGCAGACTTTGTGGTTGGGAGGCTCATTTCCATTAACCACAGGAAGTACGAAAAATCTCGTACCGATAAAATTTGAGCCAATTTTTTTTTTTACAAAAATTCCATGTGTTGACAAGCAGCTGAAACTCAATATGATCTGACAAGAAGTAAAACTATGTTTTTTAATCAGGATTTTTACATTACAGAATTTAGGCTGGAGGATTATTTTCACTCGGTATTTTGATGGTAATTCTCTTGGCAAAAGCGAAGTTAAAGTCTCGAGATGAGAGGTGTCAATGTATGTTTTCAAGATCACTGATGGATTGCTACTATAGTAGATTCCTTGCTTTCTATGCTTTAATCAAGTCTGTAAAAAAAAAAACGATAATAGCGTCGATAGGAGATGTTATCTGGAGCATATTTTCGTTAAGACAGATGTAATCCTTCATTAGCTGGCTGAAAAAAAATTATTATAAAATAATAATTTATCTACAAAGTTCGTAAAGTATCTACCATTGTTCGTTTTAAAAGAGTAAAATTCAAAGCTGCATTTGCATCAGATTCAAGAATGCGACATAGACACTGTTCCTTTCCAGTTCAGATTCTTTTACTTGTTTGTCACCACACTTAAATTACTACAATAATACTTGATCTGTGCAATTGGGACAGGAAATAGTTTGGAAGGATTAGTGGATTCTGCAAGTTTGCAGCTTTGTTTCCTGGTTCCTAAAAATCTAGTAAATCTAGGTTTTACTGCACTCATTTAGTAAAGCCAGTATCAGACGATCAAAGTAAAGCTTTCAAAGTGGCGCATACACGTGATACTCATCTTCCACCAGCCGCATCGATGCGCCACTTTGAGAGCTCTACTTTGAGAGCTCTACTTTGATCGCCTGATACCGGCTTAGCTCATTAAGAAACAGTCTTCATTTACAGAGAGTTTAACCGCATTCACTTCAATATATGAGGACTTATAAGTAACAACAGCAGTCGCTGACAACTGCCATTATAAGGGAAAATGCTTTTTTCGAATTCTGGAGCCCTCAAAAATGCCTTTGCAAAGTTTCAGACTTCCAGCCCAATTTTACTGCAAGCTATGAACTGAAAACCATGTTATTTGTAAGAGCAGCGGATATGAGAATCCACTGTGCTCCCCAGCCAGCGCAGCAGGACACCGTGGAGATTCGAAAGCACTTGCGATATAACTGCTCTCGCAAAGGCCATGGGCTGCAGCTGACACTCAATGATACATATCGGGACCATCTGAGAATTACAGATTTTTAACTGATTTCAAAATTTGTTCCTTATTTTTGTTGTAAAAGTTACAAACTGTTTAGTTTTTTGTTCAATTTTATTAAATGACTCAGCATTGATTAATTTTGGTTCATTTCAATCGTTTTACCAGCCTTACTCTTCCTGAAAACTTAATGGACCACTAGACAAGGTACGAATTTAAGCAATCTGATACATGTACCTATCTTAACCAGAATTTCACGTAGAACTCGATTCACACTACGCAAATTACTGAAACCAACTCCTAACATGGATATGAACGATTTTATTTCACATTGGTTACGAGGAATTTGAACTGCCCGCTCACAAGAAACTCAAAGCTCTAAGTGAGTCAAATCGCGCACTACAAAGGTTTCAGCAAGCTCCTCAATCGAACAATGTTCATTTCCCACCATGTGTTGTTCCAACTATAAGCTATTTGTAATAGCTGAGCCAAAGCGTCTAGATTGAAGTTGCCAGATTTTTATATCGCAGAAACTGTCATGATAAAGTTTAGTGCGCGATGTGAGTCACATAGAGCATTGAGTTTTCATGAGCGGGTAGTTTGAATTCACGCATCAAGAATCATTAAATATCTTCGTAAGGAGTTGATATCGGTAACTTTCGTTGTGCCCATCGTGTTTTACGTGAAATTTTGGTTAAGAAACATGTATCAGATTGCTTAAATTGGTACCTTGTCTAGTGGTCCATTTCATGCGGGAGAAAATGTTCTCAGTAAAAATAGCGGAAATCACATTTTTTTCAGATCGTTGTTACTCCATCAATTTTTCACTTACATAAGTCGTAAAACGCGTGTTCCTTACAGGAAGAGTTGCCCTTTATGAAAATCTTTCTAAGAATCCTCTCAGTTCTACGGGCAGTAAAGTGCAAAGCTTCAAAAACTTCAAACGCAATTTTCTCACAATGTGAAAACTTGACATCCACTATTGTTACATATAAGTCCTCATATGATCAAACTTCAATTAATTTATTTTATGAATGACATGATTTACAATAAAAAAAGAGGGCAAAATGATGGTTTAGTTCAGACATTTTTACTTCACTCCGAAACTTTATTGTGATCCTGATGGTGAGCAGAAAAGAAAAAAAAATAATTAAACTTCATGAGAAGTCCTTCCACTTAACCATGAGGAATATGCAAAATTACTTAGGTCGAACGTTCCAAGGGCAGCTTGTTCCTGAGATAAAAATTTGTCAAAGGGTGTGAAAAGAGTCCCATACCAATTTTATTTTATTTTTTTGTCCTTTTTTTTAAACATCACATTTTCTTTTAGGGGAGAAGGGAGTGCTCTGATTAATCCTCCTTACTGAGTTATATTGCTCATCATCCTTTAGGCTTATGTCAACATTTTAAAGGAATTAAGGAGACAGAAATTTTTCTGCACATAAGTGTAGCAAATATAATAAAGTACAATACCTTGCATACGATGTTACATGGTGCGCCACGTGCAGCAGCCCGCGGCGTCCCACCAAGGTACTTGGTACAAGGTACTACTTGCGAGCTGGCATACCTGTATGTGAGCAATTCGTAACTCAACAGTTGAAAGTGAAGCAAAACGGCCAACATTATTTCTCAAAAAATTCGAAACTTATTGGTTTCACCTTAGAGTAGTAAACATGCTTTTACACTCGTGTAATTATTTTGAATTTAAATCATATTTGGCACTTGTCCCAGGCTCAGGACTGATCTGAGAGGTCCCAAATTGGTGTGAGGCCATTTTTGGCCTTCAACAGCTTTTAGTCATAGGGAGAAGTTGGCCCTCGAAAGTTCGACCAAAAAGATCGGTCCAAGAAGAATGAGTTCAATGTCATTCTTTTCGGGTGTCGCAAAAAAGGAATGATTATCAAACACAGTATCGTCTTAACCTCTACCTGTGCTTGGGTAACTGATGTCTTGATTGTGTAAAATAATTCAGATTTTGTGACCAACAGGACCTATCCATCAGGTCTGGGCCTGCCTACAAAGTTGATCTTGTAGATGCCAGGGGCCGTAGAAACATATCGATCTATTAATGATTGCAGAATCCATTGTATCTGCATCTGATATACCAAGGTCTTACTGTAAAAACAGCAAAGATTCTTAGAGCAGTTTACCTGTTAGAAAGTACTGACATTTCTGCTTCGATTTTCCCTGTGGAAACTTGTAAGATTCAAAATTAGCAGCGAATTTTGATCGGAGCGGAAGTTCTGGTTGACCTTCAAGGATACTACCTGTTACACTTGTTACCAATATTTCTTGAAGCAAGGTCTGTAGGAGTGGTTTCCTTTAGCAGATCATTACAAAATTGGTAGGGAAATTAAATTACCATTAATTATAAGGTGACAGACTTTGTGAAGCGACCTTTAACCATGGTCACAGTCAATCAGACTCCCAACCATGGTCACAAACATGGTCACAGTCAATCAGACTCATACTGTTTGAAATGTCTGATATCTATGGATTTCGGGCAGCTCCATGAGGCCTAAGATGGCTGAGTCAATGAGAAACAGTTCTGCAGATATTCATACTTTCAAATGATTCTAAAATTTCTTCTTCCTTTAAATACTTACTTGCGTCCGTAAACCTTGGCAACTCTCAACTGAGCTCATCTAGCTCAATTTGATAAATAAATAAATAAATACATAAATACTTTTCTTTTATATTACTCACCCAAACATTCAATTAGCTGCTTCACAAGCGTCGACCCAATCGTTGTAAACATCAATCGGCTCAGACAGAAAATTTATTGTGGTTTGAAAGTCTTCCATGCAAACTCTACAGGTTATTTTGGCTGAATTCCGAGCTTTGTCCCTGAAATTAGGACGGGTATGGTTAATAATGAGGATCTAAGTAAATAAAAGAACTGAAAATAATTTTTTTTCTTCTTTTTTTCTTCTTTTTTAATGTCTTTCTTGGGTCACATCATACTCCTATGGTACTTCCTCTTTTCCTCATCACTGAGAAGTATTGAAACTAAAGCTAAAAATTTGACTGTGGCCATTTTGATCACAGCAGCATCATCATCATCATCGGACCATTATCCTTCTTGAAAAGGTTAAGTACAGTAAAAAATGGTGGTAAATTGCAAGAGAAAGACATGGATAAAATAACAAACAAAAACCCTGAAGAAAAAAAACAAATAGCAAAATGGGTTTTAATAAAAAATGGGTCACTGGACAAAGTACGAATTACAGCACTATACTGTAAATTATCTCTTTAAAAATTTACAAGGGAAACCAATCACAGAGAAAGTGGTCTGAAAATTGATTCCTGAACAAGAAGAGCGACGCCAAAAACGACCGTTTTTTGGCACAATTTGGGTCAGTGGGGATTTTTCTGAAACCGGGCCCAAACGATACCTTATGATACCCTGAGACTCTGATAAAAATTTTAGCTTGAGTATACGCACGGTTTTTGAGGAAATGGGTTTTTTTGGGGCAAAGTTGCCAAATCGCCATCATTCTGGACAGCATTTTTACAGCAAAAAGACGGGAAAAAAGGACGAAAAAGTTACACCTTTCAAAGGTGACCTTTGACGGGTTTTGGCTGTAAATGTTCTTATTGGGCCCCTGTGCTTATAGCTGTGTTCAGTTTCAAAACTTTGGGTCGTACGGTGGTCCAAAATGGGGAGAGATCGTGGACAACTCAGGATTCTTTGTCAAATTTTTTAAAAATGGAAGTAAAATTGTCGGTTTAATACAGTTTTCATGGCTATCAATGTTCTTAACGGTCCTCAATGCATTAAATTGTGTTCAGCTTAACAAATGTTCATCGTGCAGTGGTCCAAAATGGGTGAATTAGTGGATAAATTAAGATCCCTTGTCAACCTTTTTAAAAATGAAGTAAAACTGTTGGTCCCCTACAGAGTTCAGATTCCCGAAAGACTCATGTACTTAATTTCTTTTAATTGTTACAGTATGTCAGACCGTATTGTTTATAGAACTTTGTTATAGATTAGATTTTGTAGCATTATATGCTTCTACATTGCATTACAAATAATGGGTAAGCTTCTTTACCAAGTCTTGGCACTCTTGACACTGATCTTTGAAGAAGTTTTTTGTTCATTTTACCTCAGTTTTAGGTAGGTATTAAATATGTTTTTAAAGGAATAGAGGCCACAAAACTCAAAAAAAAAAAATTATGTTTTTCTTCATTTCTTTTATTTTTTTTATTTTTTCTGTTTTTCTGATTTTTTTTTTTGTTTTCTGATTTTTTAATTTTTATTTGTTTTTGTTTTAGACTTTTTCAATTTTTTTTGTTTTCTCGTTTTTTAAATTTGTTTTTGTTTTCTTTTTTTTTAAATTCTGTTTTAAACTGCTTAAATCTTTTTTAATTTTTTTTCCATTTTTCCTTATTTTCTTATTTTTTTTTAAAGTTCTGAAGGTTTGCATATTTTATTGAAATAATGGTACATAATCTAATCTATAACAAAGTTCCATAAACAATACGGTCTGACACACAGAAACAATTAAAAAAAAATTAAATACATGAGTCTTTCCGGAATCTGAACTCTGCAGGGGACCAACAGCTTTACTTCATTTTTAAAAAGGTTGACAAGGGATCTTAATTTATCCACTAATTCGCCTATTTTGGACCACTGCACGATGAACATTTGTGAAGCTGAACACAATTTAATGCATTGAGGACCGTTAAGAACATTGATAGCCATGAAAACTGTATTAAACCGACAATTTTACTTCCATTTTTAAAAAATTTGACAAAGAATCCTGAGTTGTCCACGATCTCTCCCCATTTAAGACCACCGTACGACCCAAAGTTTTGAAACTGAACACAGCTATAAGCACAGGGGCCCAATAAGAACATTTACAGCCAAAACCCGTCAAAGGTCACCTTTGAAAGGTGTAACTTTTTCGTCCTTTTTTCCCGTCTTTTTGCTGTAAAAATGCTGTCCAGAATGATGGCGATTTGGCAACTTTGCCCCAAAAAAAACCCATTTCCTCAAAAACCGTGCGTATACTCAAGCTAAAATTTTTATCAGAGTCTCAGGGTATCATAAGGTATCGTTTGGGCCCGGTTTCAGAAAAATCCCCGCTGACCCAAATTAAGCCATTCTTGGCGTCGCTCTTTAGAGTGATTCGTCACGCTCAAGTAACGTGGGTCGAACTGGCATGCAAAATTATCGCATCGAGTAGGTAAAAAATCTCGGCAGATTTTGAATTTTGAGCGAAAAAAAAGGACAACAGCCTAGGGTGGGGCTCATTTCCGTCATGTAGGAAAATCGACGAGGTCCTGGTGGCAATCGGTTCTATGTATGAAAATAATGGGCTGTATAAAATTTGAGTCAATTTGAAGCTTTTTTAGGTGATGCTCCAAGGGATCAGAACTACGTAGTCCAGGAGCACATGTAGTCCCGTGGGACCGTTAATGATACAAGTTGGCGAGATGGCTTGATCTCTTCGTCTTGATGTCCTCATCTCTTCGTCTTGATGTCCTGAAACAGAATTTCGATGCTGCCAGGCTCAATTTTTCCCGGAACATCCTTAAATTCAAGATGGCGCCCAAAATGGCCGCCACGGGGGTGAGGTGGGTGAAAGTGACTCCCATGGTCGACATGTATGTCGATTCCTATGTATTTTTGGTCGAAAATTTCGAATATATGCTTAAAAATGTACTCCGACTTCTTAAGGACCCTTAAATCCAAGATGGCGGCCAAATTGTCCCTCCTGAAAGTCAAACGGCCACGTGTGCTCCTATATGGCATGTGAGGTATCTTTCATACCATTTTTTGGGCCGTAAAATCGAAAAATGATGTTAAATAATCCTTTGCGATTCATATAAGGCCTCAAATTACAAGATGGCGGTCAAAATTGCTGAAATTTTGCAACCAAAATTGCTGAAATTTTGCAACCAAAATTGCTGAAATTTTGCAACCAAAAATTCTATAATAGCTTCTCATATCATGTGATGTATCGAACCCCATAGATTTCTGGTCGTAGAATCCAAATCTTGAATTCAAAATTCACCCCGGCCCCTTGGGAAGTCCAAAATCCAAGTTGGCCGCCGAAATTATCCCTTACAGGATCATATTGTCAGCCTTGACCTTAGAATAGCAAGATATGTATCCATTTACAGGTTTATAGGTCGTAGAATTCATAAATGAGGGTTAAAGTAACCTCCCTTTTACAATTTGCGACATTTAAGTTTTAAGAATTGCGGCTAAAAGGCGTGAAGCGTGTGGATTTAAGAAATATTTCAATTTTAAACGTTCAAAAAATTAATTACAACTGCTAACGTCATCGTTTATTCTAATGAATAAGCCCTGATTTGCAATTCACTTATTTGTAGAAAACATGTGTCAATAGTTCCAAACTTGATTTAATCCTGTGAAACAGCGATTTATCAGCTCCGCCCTTAAAATGTAATTTTTTCGACCGTTTTCCCTAGAATCACGAAAAAAGAGAAAAAACCCTAAAAACGTGACCCGAAATGTGTAAAAAGGTGGCAAAATAGTGCTGGGTCCACACTATTTTGCAAACAGAACCAAAAAGTTCCAAAATTTTCAATTGGAGTGAAAAATTTTGAGCTCTAATAGATAACCAGTACGGCGGCACGGTGCGTTTTAAACAATTTTAATGCGGTCAACATACCACCCGCGATTTTTTTGCGGAAATGTCAACTAGAAGGCCTACTGATTGAGGAACAACAAACCGCGAAATCTGTGATGGGGCCGTTTTTGAGAAAATGCGATTTTTCGCTTTTTTGGCGGGAATTTCGGGTCAAGGCGCTGAAAAAGTCAAGTTAGGCTGTTTTTGTAGTTCGTAAATGCATATCCTATACATTTTGAGTCAATCAAGTGCCAGTAGATAGCTATTCGTGCATATTGCCCAAAATTCATATCCTTAAATCCACGACTTTTGGGTTTTTGGGGGGTTAGTCAAGGAGAAATCCAAAAAAAAGAGGGTTAACCCGGAACAAATTGCTTAACAAACTTTTCCTACGTAAACTTCTTCAGTGGGTCCTATTGAACAACATACCAAAAGTTTACCACGGTTCGCTCCCGGAACACCCCCCCCCAAATTGCCTAAATTTCAAAATGGCGGCCATAATAAGGCCTCTGGGAGTTCGATTTTTTTAAAAATACGCATACAGTGTCATGTGAGGTGTCAATTCCTATGTAATTTAGGTCGTAGATTTCAAATATGAAGTAAAAAAAGTCCCTTGATCAAAAGGGGGTACCCCAAATCCAAGATGGCAGCCAATTTGGAAAGTCAAGTTTTTAAAAGTGGATTTTTAAAAAGTTCGCGTGATAAGGCAAGTGAGGTATCATTTCTTATGTAATTTTGGTCGTAGATTTCATTTATGAAGTCATAAAAGCCCTCAAGTCAAAGGGATTGCTCCAAATGCAAAGATGGCGGCCAGCTTTGAAAGGCAGGAGGGTGAATTTTTGAAATGTTTACGTGACATCCCTAGTAAAATAGAATCAACCTGACGTCAGGGTATGTTTCATAAACTACCCTGAGTCAGATTGATATCAGCCTGAATTAGTCTGACTCAGGGTAGTTTATGAAACGTCAGGTTGATTCTATTTTACTAGGGATGTCACGTAAACATTTCAAAAATTCACCCTCCTGCCTTTCAAAGCTGGCCGCCATCTTTGCATTTGGAGCAATCCCTTTGACTTGAGGGCTTTTATGACTTCATAAATGAAATCTACGACCAAAATTACATAAGAAATGATACCTCACTTGCCTTATCACGCGAACTTTTTAAAAATCCACTTTTAAAAACTTGACTTTCCAAATTGGCTGCCATCTTGGATTTGGGGTACCCCCTTTTGATCAAGGGACTTTTTTTACTTCATATTTGAAATCTACGACCTAAATTACATAGGAATTGACACCTCACATGACACTGTATGCGTATTTTTAAAAAAATCGAACTCCCAGAGGCCTTGTTATGGCCGCCATTTTGAAATTTAGGCAATTTGGGGGGGGGGTGTTCCGGGAGCGAACCGTGGTAAACTTTTGGTATGTTGTTCAATAGGACCCACTGAAGAAGTTTACGTAGGAAAAGTTTGTTAAGCAATTTGTTCCGGGTTAACCCTCTTTTTTTTGGATTTCTCCTTGACTAACCCCCCAAAAACCCAAAAGTCGTGGATTTAAGGATATGAATTTTGGGCAATATGCACGAATAGCTATCTACTGGCACTTGATTGACTCAAAATGTATAGGATATGCATTTACGAACTACAAAAACAGCCTAACTTGACTTTTTCAGCGCCTTGACCCGAAATTCCCGCCAAAAAAGCGAAAAATCGCATTTTCTCAAAAACGGCCCCATCACAGATTTCGCGGTTTGTTGTTCCTCAATCAGTAGGCCTTCTAGTTGACATTTCCGCAAAAAAATCGCGGGTGGTATGTTGACCGCATTAAAATTGTTTAAAACGCACCGTGGCAGTACATAACTGAAGGGGAAGAGCGTTCAGCTCAGGCTATTAGCATCAGAATATGAAGTAGAGGCCATCAGGCCCAGAGATATATAATTTTGGGTCTTGTTATGGACCTCGTCAGTAGATCACACTCGTCAGTGAAATCAAAAGCCAAAAAGTTCAAAAATTTTCAATCAGAGTCAAAAATTTTGAGGTCCAATGAGTACTAGTACGAAACTTGCCGTCTTGTGATACAAAACTTATACTTCGAACTTGAGCTTTGATGCCGTCTTGGATTTTGCGAGATTTTCAGTTGGATTCACATGACGAGTGTGATCTACTGATGAGGTACAAAAAGACCCAAAATTATAGATCTCTCGACGTTACCTTACCTTAATATTCCATTGCAAACTGCCTGAGCTGAACTCTCTCCCCCCTCAGTTTTGTACGGATAGTCATTGGAGTTCACAATAGTTGACTCTGATCGAAAATTTTTGAACTTCTTGGTAACACTTGGTAAACTTTTCTTGGTAACAGTTAATTAGCAATATTCGCGTTACCAAGAATATCTTACATTTCAACGAATAGCTAGGTGCTACAAAATGCAGTTGATTGTTTAGTGTTAGTGCTCTTGTTTATGAATTACAAGTATATTACAAAGGATAAGTTGCGAGGCATCCTGAAAGGATCCTCTTCTAGTATTCTCCTTAAAACTATTTTCCTTCCAATGCCCATTGAAAAGACTGAACCAAGAGAAAAACAAAAAAAGCCCTAATTTCTTATCAGAAACCTGTGCTTGCTTCGTTTTTTTCCAAAAATGAACACCTTCGATGTGTGTATCTTGTCGCTTTATGAACCTTTTCTCCTTTGGTTACTTTGTCTGTAAATAAAACCTCATTTTTATTTCTGCCAAAAAAAAAAAAAGACAATCCTATCTCGTTTAGTGTCATCTTCCTAAAGCCACATAATCCTTTATTCATTATGATTTGTCATCTTGCCCATTATTTATACTGAAGGGGGGGGGGTTCTGAATAGTTTGAAAGGTTGATTTAACCTTCATTTATGAATTCTACGACCCGATAAACCTGTAACTGGATACATATCTTGCTATTCTAAGGTCAAAGCTGACTATATGATCCTGTAAGAGATAATTTCGGTTGCCATCTTGGATTTTGGACTTCCCAGGGGGCCGGGGTGAATTTTGAATTCAAGATTTGGATTCTACAACCAGAAATCTATGGGGTTCGATACGTCACATGATATGAGAAGCTATTATAGAATTTTTGGTTCAATAATTTCAGCAATTTTGGCCGTCATCTTGTAGTTTGAGGCTTTAAATGAATCGCAAAGGATTATTTAACATCATTTTTCGATTTTACGGCCCAAAAAATGGTATGAAAGATACCTCACATGCCGTATAGGAGCACACGAGGCCGTTTGACTTTCTGGAGGGGAAATTTGGCCGCCATCTTGGATTTAAGGGTGTTAAGAAGTCGGAGTACATTTTTAAGCATACATTCGAAATTTTCGACCAAAAATACATAGGAATCGACATACATGTCGACCATGGGAGTCACTTTCACCCACTTCACCCCCGTGGCGGCCATTTTGGGCGCCATCTTAAATTTAAGGGTGTTCCGGGAAAAATTGAGCCTGGCAGCATCAAAATTCTGTTTCAGGACATCAAGACGAAGAGATCAAGCCATCTCGCCAACTTGTATCATTGACGGTCCCACGGGACCCCAAAGATGAACAAGTGCTCCCGGACTGACGGGCAAAATTAAACTGGTTTAAATGGGCGGAAGAACGCCTGATCTGCGAAAATGCGTTTTCTTGGATCTAAAATGCAGAGAAAAGAAAACAGAAAAGTGTTAGGAAAAAATCTCGCATTCGATACAGCTATCGATTTCTATATCGAATGCAAGCTTTTTTTCCTAACACTATTCTGCTTTCATTTCTCTGAATTATTTTTTGGGTTTAGAATGATTCCTTAGGCTTACGCGCAGATGCTGTCGTCCTTTGATTCGCTACGAATTCAAAATTTGCCGAGATTTTTTGCGATATCGCATGCCAGTTCGACCACGTCACTAAAGCTTGACGAGCCACCGTAAGTGTTAATGATTAAAATTGCTCGGTAGGCAAAGATGAAAAAGGGCCCTTTCTAGTCCTTTGGTTTACAACACTGCCAATCTGTTTGAAAAAATCGACCAAAGGCAAATTTTCGCGAGTGGGTTGAGTCGAAGATATCCACTTAGGTACTACCAACCTCCGTTACAGAGAAGCAAAATTCCCTCTGGTCGACGGTGCGCTTGCGTTAGGTTTTCATGCTGACACCAATGACGACCACATCTAAAATTCTCGACCCTCCTCCCAAGGTAATTTGAAAAGTGGATGGATGCAAATAAGTTGACCAAAATTCATCAAGCAGCTAATGTCGGAAACACACGCTGAATTTTTTGGTGGATGAATATCGAAGTCAACAGTCATCGCTCAACAGATGAAATTTCGCTAATTCGAGTAATTTTAGTCCAGATTTGCATCAAATCTATTCGAATAGTTCAGACAAATCCAACATTATCCGATGGTCGCTGAGCTTCGTTGCCGAATTTTGCGGGACACGCGCAATATTCAGGCATCAGGCTGATGACTTCCACATTCACACATCTTCAGTAAGAGATTCCGGCTTGAATTTAGTTCTTGACTGCATCAGAGCGTTTTCCTCCTTTGGTTTGCAACCCTGCCGATCTGATTGAGAGAGTCGACCAAACCCACTCACGAAAATTCGCCTTGAGTCTGGGTCTCTACAGACTCAACTCGCGCGACCATTTGATCCGTGAAACCCATGCGCTCCTATACAGAGTTGGAAAGAAACTGAAAATATCAGCTTTTGAATTTAATACTGAAGAAAGCGGCAAAGTCGACAAATTCCTGTCAAAGCGGGTCTCAACTGGTAGTATACTAATTTTCAACCTCTAGTTACTTAAGGAAGACAAGGTACTTGTCAAATAGAGCATTATCATGATTAGTTTCCCCATATCCTACATCAGGCTTGTATCTACCTACTGTCTGGGAAGGGAACCCTTGCCGAAAAATCAATTGACAGTTGAACTAGGCGACGGAACAACCCTTCCAAAGAGGAGGGTGCTGGTGGCAGGGTCCGCAAACCGAGCGCAGGAAGTCAAATCAGGCTCTTTATGAACCAGTGAAACGCGAAGAACTGGAACGAATGTTTTGTCTAATTGTAAGTCCTAGTTGAAACCTAACAGGCAGAAATAGCACCAGTTGAAAATTAGCCCGTTAACAGCCTCTCAACCAGTAATTATGAATTGATAAAACACACCAACCTCTCGTTGAACCTTAACAGACAGACAGCTACCAGTTGAATGATTTGACAGGAATCGCCTCATTTTCGCCAAAATCATCGATTGGGCGGTATTGTTCCTTAGCCCTTAATGAACCTTCTACTTCAGCTCACACCGATTGGTTTTGGATCAGACCTTATGCAGTGGCCCATTCTTCCATTTTTAAGTGAAAACTAAAATTTGAAGCCTTCTGCTTGTTGATGAAAGAATTTTGTAATTGATAAGTTTCCTGAAAAGCTGTCTTACATTTTAACTTCACACGATTTTTCATGATTGCAAAAGGGGCAATTAAATAGAATATCTAGTGGCTCAATTGCTTTCCTTTTCGGCGGTGGTTTCCGTTTACTTTTGCGCCTTCCCATTTCAACGTTTCACAAAAAACCGATTCTGTAAAAGCAAAGAGGGTACAATTTGAAGTTAGAAAACTAAATTCACTTTCAAGACACTTCCAACACTTTCTTGGCCCGTGCGATGGGCGCCGCCGGGATGAACAGATTATAAAATAAATTTTTACTTTAAAGAATATTTCTCCCTAATGATGCTTTGCTTTCAGTAATCAGTTTACCGACAGTGTAAGTCAGCAAACACATAACTCAATTTGCGACGTCGCAGACTTCCTATCATACCTTATTTTTTAAAGGGAAAACTGCTCAACGGCAATTCTTTAAAACTGCCGTGGTTTTTCTTCTCTGTTCGAAGAAAATTTTGCATAAGCTTCAAGGAGTGATGTCAATTTGTTCTCCTTTAAAAAAATAACAAAGAGGCGGAGATTTTCAGACACCGCAAACGAGATATGTGATTGCCGACTTACACCGTTGATATACATTTTCTCCCCCGGACATATTTTGCTTTTCATAAAATCATTATATTAATTTTTTTCTCTGAATACACTTGTTTATCTTAAATGTATTGACCTCTCTTCCCTCTTTCCCTTTCTCTGTATTTTTTGCAAAAATATTTATAAAAATTCCATTTATATTTTCTCGTGACTCCTGGCCATGTTGCCAGAGTGTGGTGTAATTCAGAACAAGTATTCTTGTGAGATGGGTAATGACGGCCCGGGCTCATTGTAATCAGTACCAACTATACCTTCTAAGCAGAACGTTTCTAGAGGGTTCGAATAATTGGAGTATCATGTACTACATATGGTATGCCGACTAAGGTGCTTTTTTACATTTTACCTTGGCAACTATTGTACAACGTCCCTTTCACAGCCTAAATTGACTATTTCTTGCTGTAAAAGGTGGAGAATGAAACATACAAAGTCGGCGAGTATTACTGTGACAATCTTCCACTTTGACAGGCTGAATAAAAACCCTAAGGCAAAACCCCTTTGCTTGTTGTATGCTCTCCACAGGGATGATACCCATTTAAACCCTCTTTGATAAAGAAATGAATACCTATTGGTTATCATTGGCAAGTTTTGAAAGACTGAACGCTTTCTTATCGAAGTTTCAGTTTTCTTCAAATTTTGTGGGATGATCACTTTCCAAACGACGAAAACTGCTCCTTTAAGATTGTGCCTACGTAACATTCAAAAACGTTCTGCTTGGAAGGAAAAGTTAATAGGTAGGTGCTTCCTATTGTAATGCGTCTGCTCCTTTACCACTTATCTCACAAAAATATTCATTCTGTATCACATCATACTGTGGCAACATGGCGGCAAGTCGCCAAAATATATGAATAGAATTTTCACAAATATTTTTGCAGCAAATATAATACAAAACAAGAGAATATATTAAAAGAAAAACAAATACATTCAGAGAAAAAAATATATGTATAATGAGACCAAGAAAATATATTAGGGAACAAATATTTTTTAAAGAGGAATAATCTTTTTACCCAGATGGTAGCCTGTACCGTGCAATATATCATGAGCTACGGGAAAATTCCAAGAAGTGAGAGAAGAAGAAATAGGGAGGAGATGACAAAACTTTCGCCAGAGCATACATGGCAAAAAACAAAAATAATCAATGTACTCTTTGGCTACACAAAACAAGGAGAAAACAAGCCAACTCTGTATTGAGTAGAGTCCCTTTATACCCAGAGTTAAGTAGAGTACCTGTATAGCGAGAGTATGGACAGATGTGAAACTCCGAAAATCCATCAGGCCTTCACCGATGCTTCTGCGAATAAAGTTAGGGCCCAGAAATGCAGCCAACCTATGAATTTCAATTATCCAGAACGGTTTACTAATACTATTGTTACGAACCGTCGTTTATTAAGCACGTGTTTGACTCAGTTTTTGCATAAATTTACTCAATTTTGCGGAAGAACGCTCATTTCTGTACATTCTTGGCCATCTTGGTTAGAATTGGAACCTGCAGACTGGCAGTGAAATTTTGTGCGTTAGAAGTTGGTTAGAAGGGTGGCTGCACTTTTGGGCCCTAAGCCCTCCATGAAGCGATCTGTCCATACTCTCGCTATACAGGTACTCTAGAGTTAAGACAACTCACTTTTGGTTGGGCCAGGGTTGGGCTGAAAGTGGCCTAAAAAAAAAATCCAATTCTGATTGGTTCTCGCTCATGAAGGCCGAAACGAGTGCACCAAGATGGCAGTACCTCGAGTGTGAACAAGAATAATGAAAATATTACCTAATTGTGGATTGTCAAGAGTAAATTGTTATTTCCATCGGTCCAAAATGAAATAGATTAAGAAATTATTCACAAACCAATCTCATTTTCTTTTTAATTGATCAATTTGTTGATGTTGTTGTTTTTATGTGACAGACATCGCAGGATTCCTGATCCTTATTCCTATCCCTCAATATCGTTCGATAAATAATCGATCGAAAAATGAAAACGTGAATCGATCGACATGAATCGATCGACAGTTAATTTAAAAACACCCGTATCGATTCGATCGACATGAATGGATTGAAAAGTGAAAACGTGAATCGATCGACAAAATTCGATCAAGGGTTTGTCGATAGACTCACGAATTTGTCGATCCATTCACGGGATTGGCGATTCATTCACGGGTTTGGCGATCCATTCACGGGTTTGTCGATCCATTCACGGCTTTCGTCGATCGGATCGATTCACAGGTTAGTCGATCGATTCACGGCTTTTGTCGATCGATTCACGGGTTTGTCGATCGACTCACGGGTTTGTCGATCGATTAACGGATTTAGCGATCGACTCACGGCTTTTGTTGATCGACTAACGGGTTTGTGGATCCATTCACGGGTTTGTCGATCGACTCACGGGTTTGTCGATCGATTCACGGGTTTGTCGATCGCTTCACGGTTGTCGATCGAATCGGTGTCGATCGATTCACGTTTTCATTTTTCGATCCATTCATGTCGACCGAATCGATACGGGTGTTTTTAAATTAACTGTCGATGGATTCACGTTTTCATTTTTCGATAGATTCATGTCGATCGAATCGACACCGGTTTTTTAACAATTTGTCGATCGAATCGGTGTCGATCGAATCGGTGTCGATCGATTCATGTTTTCATTTTTCGATCGAATCCATACCCTCCCTCTTCATCAACTGTTTTAGTTACTCTCTGTATATAGGATTTTATTTTATTATTTATTTTCTTGCAATACTGCTGCTTTTCATCTCTATGATTGAAAAAAGAAAAGAAACCCTCTGGAGGAAAAAAAAAACGCCAATGCCTCCGACCAACTATAACAGAATTTTTCAAGTTGCATGATTTAAATCAGAGTATGGCCAATAACAAATAAGATATCGACGATGAAACTACCAGACCATGTATCTCGTTTGCCATGTTTAAAAACATCTGTTCCCATTTCCTCTTGGTGAGAGAGAGCAAATCCAATTCATTCCTTGAAGTTTTCAGAGTTTTCATCAAACAGAGAAGAAAAATCTCCGAATTCGTCAAAACTTGACCTTGAGAGGTTTTCTATGTAAGGAATAAAGTATGATAGGAAGTCTACAACATTGCAAATCAAGATACGTGGTCTGGTAGTTTCACCATCAATCAGGGCCGGATTTACCTATGGTGCATCGGTGCAGCTGCACAGGGCGCCAGATTTTGAGGGGCGCCAAATTTTGGGTTTTTTTTTTCCAAACTCTGAAAAATTACATCAGGGAACTATTGATTTATTGCGTTCCATCTTTTAAATGACCTGACCCCAGACTTTAAGGGTCAAACTTTCTCTTAGTTTCGTAGATAACAGTAACAGGAACGGGTACCTGGTTTTGGTTTCTGCCCCAGAATCATTCACTCACTCGAGAAAATTCGTATTTAGTTAGAGTTAGCACGTGGTAACCAAAGAAGACCGTCGGGTTGGGAAATGCGCGGGCGGGGGGGGGACGTGCGAGGGGGGCGCCTCGAAAATTTCTGCACAGGGCGCCAAAAACGTAAATCCGGCCCAGCCATCAATATGCATTAGGGAGGAGAAAGAGAGGATTTTGTCCTATAGACCGTATACCTATTAATATCAACAATTTTGCTCAGTGAAATTTGCTACGTTTACATTTGAAATATCCAGGGTACGGAAACGTTGAGGGACATGCAGCATTGCTGCATTCCATGCTATATCTTCGGATTTTCTTTCAATATTGTGGCATTTTGCCATGTTGATGATTGCAAAATTTCCTGGACACTGGTAGTGCCGACATTTTCTTTAAGTGGAAGTATAGGTTGCAAAATCTTAAGAACAACACAAATTATGTTGTGCGCATATGCATTACACACTTTAGTTATCTTCTGGACAAAGTTAGGAATACAAAACAAACGTGAAAGTACATAATCGGACTAAAGGTAACTTTTCTAGGGTTTTGGCTACCTCAAACCGTACCTTGCGTACGTATAAAAGCGTACCTTGTACCCAAATTAAGGAAAGCCCTTTTTTCTCTAGTAAACCTTAGAGGATTTATTCCTAGGGACGCACTCAGGGAAGTTTATTTTGCCTTATTTCAGTCTCTCTTAGGATACGGCATTGGGGTTTGGGGGGGAGCGTGTGCAGCTGTTCTAGAGCCTCTTCTTCGCTTGCGGAGGCAGGCCATCAAGGTTGTTCTTAAGCTTCCGAAGAGATATCCCTCCGAGGAGCTTTTTAATCTCCTTGGTGTAATGTCTCTGCATAGGCTCTATGAGCAGGATCTATTTCGGTTGCTCCCGTTCTTCCTTAAAGACTCAGCTCCTGAAGAGGAGTCATTTTATAATTTTAGGGGGAGGGATCCTTTGAATTAGTTTTACCTTTTGGCAGGATAGATACAATTAGGAGAAATAAAGGATATCCTTTTTTTAAATTTTTTAATGAGTTAAATGTTTTGGAGAGAGCCCTCTATTTCAATAAATTCTGTTCCTTTTCCTTTTAATTTTAGTTATTCATTCATACTTTGTTTTTCCTCTGCATCTGCAATTTCACTTTTTAGAGAGAATATTCACTAAGCTCATCACTTTTTTCAATGCCTTGGAGAGAGCCCTCTACTCCAATTAATTCTGTTTACTTTCCTCTTCATTTAACAATTAATTAACAATTATTTAAGTTACCACTTGTTATAGTTATTCACTCATACTTTGTTTTTCTTCTGCATCTACAATTTCACTTTTTTTTTTTTTTTTTTTTTTTTTTTTTTTTTTTTTTTTTTTTTTTTGTGAAGTTTTCTCTTTCTATTGGGCCTTAAAAATATTATTTTTTTGTTCTGTCAGGCTATGCCAACCATTGTTTAGTTATTTTCTTGTTGTTTATCTTATTTGGTTTAGTAACATATGCCACACAAGCTCACTTTTGGCATATGGAGCTGTTTTGTTTTACTTGTGTAAATTTAAATTTTTGAAATAAATAAATCTTAAAATCTTGAAAAGCGGAAAAAGTGAGGATGATTGACGTGGAATGATTTGATAAAGGCTCTAAGAAGAGCAAAGATCACTGATTTTGAGTTTAATCAATTAATGCAATTGAAAGATGGAAGTTCTGATTTGTAGAGTTTGATCAACTAACTCATCAATTTTAAACCACTTGTTAAACTGCATGATGTAAATTTAGGTATCTTGTAGTTTGAGGGTAAAGAACAAAAATATGATCGATGCTGTAGAGAAGACAGGATGCAATAAATAGGGATACTTACATCTTTTCTGATTTGACAGGTTAAAGAAATTATCAAAATTCAAACTTATGAGACTGGAATTAATAATAGACACCAATTCAAGCAAAACTGGATAGACAAAATTACTTAAAAGATTATTCCAGACTGCAGGCAGCACGTCAACAGTCTGATGTTTGTGCGGAGAGAAGGTTTTTGAAGAAACTCCTTGGCCGCTTTTCAGAGGCACAGCTCTTTCATTAGGTGGGTCACAAGTCACAATTTGATAGATCCTCAGATTTTGTGGATTAGACTGATCTAAGTATAAAACGTCATGTACAGCAATACATCCAGATGTTAAAAACTTAGATGTAGGCTACCCCACCCACTCCTCATGGGAAAGTGCACCACAATCGATTTTTAATTGTATGTTGCATTCAATTCCTTTCAAGATGCTGATCAAAAGTCATCATTATGCCAACTTTATATGATGCACCATTTCCGCACAATACACCCGTCATTATTCAATTGATCGGCGATGAAGAGTCAGAAAGATTTCTCATTTCAGCACCAAGCAGGGTGAACGGTTGACTGTGTGTCAACAAGAATATCAGAGAAACTCCAGCACCGAGCAGCAGTCTTATCTCGGATCCCGCACGCCTTTATGCTTGACCATCCAAATTAGTTTTGTGAGGAGCATAAGAACAGGAAAGTCAGAAAAAACATTTTATGTCAAACGGACAAGAGAGGTAGGGAGATAGCCCCTGAGTGGGCAGGAACAGATAAGAAGACAGACATGGGCTACGTTTTTCTTTATTTACATCAGGCTTTTGACCTTTTGACACATCAATGCCGAATAATTGAGTAATTAAGGGCATATTGTGCAATTACAGTGCATTGTAGAAAGTTGGAGCAATGGTGACTTTTGATCAGCATCTTGAGAGGAATTGACTGCAATAAAAACATTAAAAATCGATTGTGGTGCACTTTCCAATAAGGAGTGTGCGGGGCCCTTTACTTGTGAAAAGTAAAGCTCTAGCAGGAAGTCAATTTTACATCTGAAGCAAGCAAGATTCCATCTGATTGAACATGAGTAAGTAACATTACGCAAACTCAGCTACCTCATCTAAGAATAGTGAGATAGAGAATGAAGCTATGTCTGATAAGCTGTGAAAGCAGCAATGCAGTACCTAGATGTGACTAAAAGGAATGATTCGGAAAAATTATAATACAACATGGTGAAACTGACCAAACGTGAACCTGGTTAAATACTTATCGTCAGGAACAAATCTACGAACGTCTATCGGGCTGCAGCATGGGTAAGGACTGTAGGCATACCAAATACCAAGGACTGCTACTGCTTGGCCCTTGGCGGCTTTTGTTTACGGAACACCCAACATAACCAAGATCCTGAACACATAGAGTACAATAGAGTCGCAAAGTACTGGATCGCCGATGAAGCCAATCCATGAACAGGCGTTTCCGAGCCGCGTGTGCTCCGAAATTAGTGAACCATTTGTGAACCCAACGGCATTTTGTAACACGGCCATGGACCCCCAACTCCGGTTAGCGCTGACATCAGCGCTCCCTGGCAGAGGGTGTAGTGAACTAAACCGATGATTGGGTCTTCCTGTTTATATTTCCATGCACCACCTATTTAGGCTTA